CAGTGATACAGAAGCAGTCTCGTAACTAATCCACTTCCTATGAGTGGAATCATGCAAATCATCAGATTGCGCTTCAATTCTATCAGAATCCGCCCAATCAAGAAGCCATGGCAGCGATTCTGATTAAGACCAGCAACCAGTTGCAGCCAGTGAAGCTCCCTCCGGTGTCTATACCAATCACCGACGATGGGTTTGCTTTGATTTTCAGAATTGTCAATTTAGATCCACATATCTGTTTCTTTGGCGAAACTCGCGTGTTCAATGCGCACTGTTTTCAAGTAAACACAAAACACAACGTCAATCACAATCGTCAAATATCTGCCGCCGAAGTCGGCGCAGTTGATTTGATAAATTAAACAGAAACCAAGACGACCGTCAAATATCCACCGCCGGCATCGGCGATGTTGATTTGATCGATGCACCTTTGACTCCTAATCAAACAACCGTTATTCGGTTCACCACCTCTCCAAACTGCGTTCGAACGAGGGTGTTCGGCGAATAACCAGAAAATCGAACCAGGAGTGGTCTAAGTTACGTTACCTCTACTCCTATGGAGGTTCCTCTGGAGAGCTCCGCGACTACGACTACAAGCTACGACTACGACTCTGCAAAGGATTTCTCTGACAGAGCGGTTCTACGAAACTAGAGAGAAAAAGGTAGATTCTGCGACGGTGCAGTTTGTGATTTGATTTTTCCATCTTGAGCTTCTCTCTCTTCCCGATAAATATACCCCGCTCTTCTCCCCATAGTCGTAGTAACTGCCTTCACGCCTTTGTCTCCCACGTTCTTCATTCCTGTCAACCGTGCGAGTAACTTCTCCCTTGTTGCGTAACTTCCACGAGTGCGAAACCGCTCTGAAGAGACTTTGCAAACCAAAGTTGCGTCAAATTTGTAGTTATCCACCATGGTTCGATAATCCATCTCGCCTCCAAAACCACACCGCTGTCACCCTGTTCATAAAACGACGGCGTAGTAGAACAACTCCGCTTCACTTCTAAAATCTGAGCATGAGAACCTCCTATCTCGGCAACGTCGTCGTTGCGAGGAATAAATTTCCCAGCGATCTCAACCCTGGCAACGTTGTTCTCCACTAAACAACGTCGTTTCTCATCCAAGCGGAATCGTTCGATTTGCGGCATTGTCAAATGCATAACGATACAAGTGAGGTTGCGCCCTTGTCTGAATCACGACATTATTTAGCTAGGAATTCAACAATGCTTGATCACTAGCCTGCTTGTCATCAAATTGAAACAATGTCGCTTCTTGACATCATTGAACTCACTGCTTTGCTTCACTAACAACTGGCTCCATAATCAACCACGTTCAAACATGGCCTAACTTTAATCGATCTAGGTTAAAAAGAACAATGTTGTTGCTTACCAGGCCGCACTTGCAGCAACATTTGGTTCGCGATCCTGTTGAGCTTGCGGTCTCGCGGCATGAATAAGCTTGATTCTGTGGTGTTCTTGAGTCTCTGAGCGTTGGACCCAACTCCTCGATGTGGGATTCACAATGTTGTTTTGAGCTAAACAACGTCGTTTGTTTACTTAGCGGCACTATTATATTCTTGCAACACTGTTTTTAACTGAACACTGTCGTTTACTTAGTGCCGCGGTGCTGTTGATATCTCTCGCGGCATCGTTTTTAGCCAAACAACACCGTCTAAAACAATTATTAAAAAAGATTAATTAATTAAACCGACTCATTATTGATACGCGGTCAAATTATCATCCCTCGGCGTTGTTTAATCTCTCTGCGGCCTTGTTCTCTACCAAACGGTACTGTTTTCTCATCTTGCGGTGCCGTTTGGCTTGTCGGGCCTCGCCAAAATCCAACCCGTTGTAGTATGGTTTCTAACTAAACGATATTGCTTAGTAATATCGCGGCGCTGTTGATGCTTTAAACGGTGTCATTTTTAGCTAAACAGCACCGCTTGATTATACCCGCAACATTGTTTTGATATTAAACTACTCCGCTTCCAGCCTTGCGGTGTCGTTTTCTTCCCCAATCAGCTCCGTTTATTTTTTCCTTTCGCGACATTGTTTTTTATTAAAAAACACTGTCGTTTGCTAGTACAGCGGTACCGTTGGGCTTACTCGCAATACCATTCTTAATTGTCCGCGATGCCGCTTGTCTCCATGCGGTATCGCTTCTCCCCTTCCGACAAAGAATAAATTAATAATTAATTAAAAAAAACTCCTTTTCCAACACCACTACTAAACGCGCGGCCCACCTCTTATTTTTCGATAAACAGTGTCGTTTCCAGTGCCGCGGTACCGCTGAGCTTCCTTGCGGTACCGTTTTTTGTTTCGCGGTATCGTTTTACCCATCCGCGATGCCTCTTGTCTCTACGCGGTGTCGTTTCACTCTCCTTCTCCGATAAGAAATAAAAAACACACTCATTTTCCAACAACAACACCAATCTTGCGGCCCATGTCTCACAATAATTGTTTCTAGTAAACAATGTCGTTTCAAGTGCCGCGGTACCGTTGAGTTTCCTTGCAGTGTCGTTTTCTAGCTGAGCGACACCGTTGGATCTCGCTGCGGCGTAGCTTGTCTCCAAACGACACCGTTTTTGTCAAGCAGTATCGAATTAAATGCCAAGATCAATAATTGCGGTATTGAATTTAGGCCAAATTAATTTTAGGTGTCAACAATATCCCTCCCACTTTCGCCGCCACCAGCCCTCTCTTCACAGAGATCTCCATCGACTCTGCCACTGGAAACAAGCTCAAAACCAACACAAATCTCAACTAATCAACCCATGCCTCGCCGCTCCTCATTGCTCATGCTCAAGGTTGTCAACCCGCGGGTTGACCCGGACCCGGTCGAGCTAGTGGGTTAAGGGTTAATGGGTCAACCGTTTTAGCCCGATTTGGCCCGGAAATGTGGAAAAAGTCATTATATTGTACTTATCCTCATAAATTATATAAAATCTTATCTAACATATGAGTTATAACATATAATATTACACCAAAATAACATATCGTACTTAGATCTAACATATAATGAAAATTCACACACACTTATATAACATAAATATTCAAATGTTCAACTTAGGATTCCAAAGATTGAGTTGGGCGAAAAGAAAAATCGGAAAATAGGCGCATTTCGCAAATCAAATGAAAAAATGACACAATTTGACCTCCAAGTCGATACCTTATAGCGGTCGGCCCGGCGGGTGCGTACGGCCCGTTTTTCTCATCGGATCAGGGTCAAACTGGGTCGACCCGCAGGTTGACAACTTGCTCATGCTCCTATGCTAATCAAACGAATAGAAATAGCAATATCAGGAGCAACAGCTGGGTTATGTGAGAGACAACTACCAATTAATCACCCTCTCCTTCCTTCCTTTCTCTCTCAATCACCCAAATCGTACCCTTACCCTTTCCCCCTCCTTCCCTTCCTGTGCGGCTCCTGTTCTTAGTGAATCATCCCTTAATTGCTTTGCTCTCTCTTTTTTCTTTTCGCCTGGCTTTCCTAGCTAACAGGTTGTTGAGAAGACAAGATTTGTTCTTTTTCATTCTCTTTCTCCCCACTTGCTTTCTTTTGTTTGCAGCATCGAAAGCTTATACTCATGAAATCAAGCAGCGAATCTTTGAGACCACTAGAATCCCCGTTCAATCCAGAGGCTTGTCATTGGCGACCGCCAGCTCGACGACGATTCCGTCGTCTCGACGCTGGCAGCGTCCACCTCCTACTTGACGGAAACAGGGAACGATTGCAGGGCGGAAGGACGAAGAAAGGATGAGGACGAAAACAATATGGAATTGTTTGTGGCGGTGGGAACTAGGAAGACGTGTTCGGATAATTACTTCAATTTTTAGTTTTATTATTTATTGGGTTAATGGACCCTTTTACCCTTGTTGTTATAGACTTATAGTATCCGGACCCCATTGAGAGGGGAGAGCCCTTTAATAAATGCTAAAAATTGTGATATTGTATCTCAATTTTAAAATATATATGTATCTCAAATTTCAATCTCGTAATTAAACTAAGAGTCATATAATTCATAAGTATAAATACCAAGATTTAATAAGGCGTAAAACTGTGTGTGCGTGCTAGGTAGTGATAAAAAGCATCACCTAGGCTTTAAGCAGACAATTAGGCATTCATAACACCTAGACGACATTTAGGCAAAGCTAAGTATGATTAATTGATGTGAAGCCTAATTAATCAAGATGCGACGTGTTTAAGTGCACTAACAGACCGATGATTAAAAAGAATTTATAGCTAATCTTCTCAAAATGACGCAATCTAAACTTGCAATTAAGCCTAAAAACATGTTATAAAATTGTTATTTATACTAAAAATTGTTAATTTTGCTATAACGCCTGGTGCCATCTAGGCACCACTTAGGTGTGTTAGGAGCTAGACATAGTCTCAACAGCTGCTTAACACCTAACATTTTTTCGAACCTTGATAAGTATTGAGATCTCTTCACAAAAAACTGAATGAAAACCATTGAAATATATCATCTATCTTTTATGTCATTTCCGACAACTCTAGTAAGGTTTTCAGTAACATGTCTATCTAATTTGGGCTCCAAAGCAATAAGGAGGTTGTGGAAGAAATATTTCAACTCCTAGCTAAGCTTTCCATGTCATTTTATCTAACGGTCGCTTGCTTCATTAAGTTTCAAGATCTTGTCGGTCGTTTGGATGAGGAATTGTAACGGATCAATTTGACACAATTGTCTCGTTTTGAGACAATTGTACCAAATTGCCTCGTTTGCCAACAAAAAAATTGGATGAATCAATCTGCCTGAGGTATTTTGAATTGATCTATTTTGAGTCAATTTCAATTACATGGGGTGGGGGCAGGTAATTCGAATTGACTCATTTTAATTGCCTCGTTTATAAAACGAGACAATTGATCAAATTGACTCATTTTTAGATTGATCCATCCAAACGACCCTCGTTTCTTGTTGATGCCTTGATGGTTGTAATATGAAAAGAATTTTGTACGTGTCATGCTTTTACATAATTATTACTAACAAGGCTCAATCTCAGTAAAAACTAAAAAAGAGACATCAAATCATTACTAACAAGTAACAAAGCAATGCTTATACTCCTATGGACATAGTAAATATAATTTGTTACCAACAATATATCAGATCATTAATAACAAACAACAAAACCATCATAATTGAACCATCGATGGATTGATCGAACTGCAACGACACATCCAGCAGGCCACAACATGACCTTCATACTCTGTCATATGATTTTTTTCGATAGAAATCTCTTCTTCAACAAATGAGTGGCAACATCGATCATTTCTCTAATAACGGCAAAACCAATTTTGACTTACCAGAATGCACCTTACACTCTCATTACATCTTTTTCCATATATAAGTGACTTGATTAGTTCACAAAGCAAAAATTTTATCTTCTTTTCTTTTTCTTCCTAGGGAGAGAGGTGGATGGGTTCATCAAGGATGGACTTGGCTACACTAACCATTTCCTCATTAGTGTACCCATCATCGTTCAAGTAAAAGAGGTGACACGCCTTTGCCATGTTCCAAAACAATTGCTTGCAGCAATTTGGTATTCCCTTCTCCTTCTCCAGCAATACCAACCTCAACAGTTGCTTCCTCTCCCTCTCGATTGCTCTCTTCACCTCTTCCATGGCGTCGTCCAAGGTCCGGCCACCTTCATGCAACAGCACCGAGACCGCATTCACTGTCCCTTGCTCCGACTCCCTCTGTGGAAACCATAGTAACACAGTCTAAAACACATCGCCAAACCCACAAAACTTGCTCTGAGTAATGAATTCAGATCTAGAGAGAAAGCTATTTCACCTGAACTCCTCTCCAGTCATTGAGCAAGCGCCCACAAGTGCTCACCCCTTCGTACAGGTTCTTATACTCTGGACTACTCACCATCTCCTCCGAGAGTTTTGGCCCTACCAAGTAAAGAGCTGAAAGTACAATCGGACCTAATGCGAATGACACAAGTCCGTTCTTCATATATTCCTCCATTGTCGGCACCCACTTGTTCCTTGACCATTCTGCTTCTTTCAGTCCTGCCTTCACCAATTCTACCCACTGTAAAAAATCGTTAACATTACCATGTGGTAGAAATGAAGATTATATACCTACCCATCTCAAGTATATTCCCTGTCTCTGAAAATTATGTTCAACCAATGATGAATTGAAAGATGTCTCACTAAGCTTGATGTCAAGTAAGTGATCACCTAACATAAGAGATGTATATGATAATGGAGAATCCTAGTGGGTCATAACCAGTATAGGAAAGAAAATAGCTTTTCAACTCACAATATCATTTACATGACCGGTAACATCACGTTCTTGCCGTGCCAATGCCATGCCACCAATCTCAAGAATGGTGCCTCGAATAGCTGTGAAAAGGATCTCAACTTGCTCAGAACAGAAATCTGTGCTTCCATCCACTTCCCATCTGTGATTCATTTCAACAACATTAAGTTGAAACTGCCGATAGAGAAGAAGAATGATAAGCAGCAGTAAGAACAACATAATGGGAAGGTACCATACGTCTCAAGCAACTGAACAAGGTTTACTATTTCTTCCATGGAACCTCCAAAATCGAAAAAGTCATCCACAACTGTAGTGAGCACACCATTCTTGGTCCATGAGATGCGAGCATCAGATAATTCAGGTGCATAGAGAGTTGCAGCAGCTGAAAAGTAGCAATAACCCAGCTTCTGCCTCGCAAATGATAGCTTGTCCAACTTATTCTCAATAATCCATCTGTATACAAGAAGTCAGAGTTCTTAAGAATGATAGACGACAAGTAACAATTTAGCCGTTGCTGACAATTTTAAGCTTTTTGCAGGATGTTAAGGTTCAGCCCTAGAAAAGAATAGCTAACAACCTCCTAACACGTCATAGAAGAACTAGGCAGGATAATAAAAAGAAAGATTTAAAAATAGATAGCAGAATCATACAGTTGAATAGGTATCTTGTTCCAGTGATAACCCTCTCAATAACCATGCAAAACAGCAAACAACAGAGAAGCAAAGTATCCAAGAATCACACCTTCCTAGCTGCTTCAGTTCTTTCTGCTGTATCGACTGGCAGAGGTTAAAGTCTTCGGCTGCCAGTTTAAGCAAATCCTTGTTCCCAATGTTTGGAAAACTAGTACCAAAAAGGGGCAAAGCACAGTGAGCAGAATTAAAATTTTTCTAGATGTACTTCAGATTGAGGAAAAAAGGGAAAGAAGTGTACCAATAGGAGGTCTTCAAGGTCCAAGTGCTATCAATATCACTATACTGGTGAATATTTCTCCTATGGCCTAAGCGATCCAAATCAACATGATATGGATATGTGAGAGCATCATGCACCTGAAATTAAATGAAGGGTAGCTTAGAAAGGTTTCAAGCATATTCCATGGAAGAACTTTTTTCTCAAGCACTTACCCTGAGTAAATCATACCTTTGTGCTGATACTTTCACCAGGTTGGTCCACATAAATTGAGCCATTGCGGAATTCCTGTTTCAGGAATTTCGTGGTCCAAGAACTTATTTCTTCCAGGATAGGTTCTTCTGGATAAATTATTTGTGAAGCTTTGTGCAACTCTAGTACAGCTGTTTTGTCCTTCAAGTATCCTTCTAGTGAATCGAAGAAACAATCTTCTGAGAATGGAGATAGCCGATCTGGAGGTAATATTATCACAGCTAGTTAGAAGGTTCGACAGTAACAAAATAACATCATGCGATGACCAAAACATCATTTTCACGCATCTGAACAACATACCTGATGAGACATCATATCCATAGACACGTAACAATCTAAAAGCCACAGCACAAGTAGTAGTATCCAGAAAGATCTCTTCACCCCCCTGCAACCAGCATCTGCTTATGTGATAGGTGTGTCACGATTTCACTCATAAATTCAGGTAAATTGCAATCCTAGAGCAACGCAAAATCCAATAAAAGTTGTCGAAATCTTTCAATGTTGAGCAATCCGAGAAGTAAAAAATTGCTTACTGGTATGTCTGGTCCAGCAACATCTTTATTTCATTAAAGTGACGAGCAACTCCCAGTCTATCAAGAGTGTCGATGACAGAAAGGCGGCTGCGTATGTCCAGAGGATATATTGCTGGAGCTAATAAAGATAATGGACATAGGTGTAAAGGTTTTCAGTAGATGTTAGAAAACAAGGTGGGGCAAGGAATTATGAGGACTGTTGTTAAAAAGGACAGACCTGCATTCTCGAATTTGTCTAAGACGGCATACAGATAGCGAAGGCAATCAGGATCTTGAACATGAGAAAAAGCAACTGCAGTTGTCGAAGGTGAATTGAACAGGGATCCATTCTGCCTCTGATATTTCATCACCATGTCCCAGTCTTGTGAGTGTTGGATACCTTCTGAAACATAGGCCAAGTAGGATCTCCTTCCCTCTGCATTTCTTCCGAACCCACTAATGTAGAAAGAGAGATTTAAATGGAGGATAAATAGGCATGCATACACTGAAATAAAAAGGTGGGGGATTATACCGTGTAAGCTCCACATTTCTCTTAGTCAGCATAGCATCTACATCGGTTGACTTGAAAGGGAGGTTCAATCCCAAATCTTTTGCATAGTCAATCATTCCAGGGAATATTATGTCAAATCCAATAGGTACATGCTGCTTCTGATCCGTTACAGAAGCAGAATTGCAGTCAAGAAACTGGAGGCCTGCAACAACAGCGCAGCAACAGCCAACAAGTGAGCATAAATATTCTAAACAAACGATCTCGATTTGGACCAACTCGTTGAGGGATGAAAGTTGTATATCATTACCTTTAGTGACTTGTTCTTCACCAAGGCCCCAACGTTGGAGAGCTAGAATGCAAGCCAAGGTAGAGGAGAGAGCATCCTTGGTTAAGGATGGATCACGGCGAGGGAGAGGGAGACCCCAAGAGCCATCACTCAGCTGGTTGTCCTGTATCCACCTAGCGCATTGAGGGAAGAAAGGAGAGTCTTCCATGGATGAGGTAGGAGTTGGAACCATGGCCAGCCAAGCAGTGTCATATGCAGACACTGAGAGCTGAGCCTCATCAAACATCTTCTTTATCCTTTGTATTCTTGTCGAGTCTTGGCAGTTCTGCAACTGGAAGAAAGATGAAGCATAATTTGTAAGTACCATGTCTATCAGCACACAAAATAAGAAGAGAGGAAGAGGGCAAGGTAGCTTGTGATGCAGTGATTAGGACGGAATAGTAACAAGATTAAGGACAGAAAATGAAGAAGAGGGAAATAGAGGAATACCAAGTTGGTGTTGCTTAACTCTGCGGTGAGCAGAGATCCAGATTCTCTACATTTTGCTGCAGATGGAGAAGTTTGAAGTTAACTTGGTAATTCTGTTTAAAGAAAAGTATATCATTGATGTAAAGTGAAGAGAAGGTAGGTGAACCAGGAATAGCAGCAGGAACAAGAGGAAACACAGGGTTAGAAGAAATTGGAGGATGACTCCCTGCCATTGTCAAGCAAACGAACATTTTGTTTTACAGTGAAACAGGATGTTTCTCTGTTATAGCTTCACTTTGCATGTATGCATGCTCCCTGCAAAACTTTAACCAAAAGGGCTTCAATTATATAATCGAACAAGAAATTCCAACTACAAGAAAAACGTGGAATCCCAAGCCAATAAATATCTTCGATAGTTTCATTGAAAGGCATTTCCATCTAACCCCTTATTGAAAGGTCAAAAGCAACCATCACCATCAGAGAACGGCCTGTCGTGGCCAAAGGCATCACTGCATGCTCATTCATAGTCGGTCAACAATTTCACAAACATTATTGGACCAGTATAAGCCTCTATCTCCACAACCACAAGTGCGACACAAGCTCCACCACTAACTTGGCATTATTAAATATTGAGGCATTCATTCAACACCAAAAAGTGAAGTATTGATGAAAAAATAGAGTTCAAAGCTTGCAACTCGAGGACTTCCAAAACAGAATTCTTTGAAGGAGACACCGGAAGGAAAGGGAGCAAAGGATCCCGCATCCAACCAAGCAAAAGTCATCTCCTCCCCTTGGTGCTGCTGAATTGTTGAAGATGATCAAAACAGAGAGAGAAGCAGATGTTTTGTTAGGTTGGAGAGGAAATGTCGGCAATGTGGTCCCGAAATTGGAACCCACCCTCCTAATCCTAATTCCTTCAGTCTTCTTTCATTGTCGCGTCTGGTTGCAGAGCATATGGACCCAGTCCCAGAGCTCTTCTTCACGCTTCGCCGTCTGCCTTCACTCGCTATGTGCTCGTCGCCGATTCCGCCTTCGAGCTCGTCATGGGTCGGTCTTGTGCTCCTCGCCGGCTCCTTCTCTTTTCAATTGTAGGAAGGGGGCATCCGGGTCTCCCGCCGCCGATCATCGACACTATCCCCGCCGCTCTGTTTCCGTTCGGTGATGTGTCTCCCTCCCTTCCCTGGCTTTTTTCAGTGGTTTCGAATTGTCTCGGTCGCCATTTTCCGGCGACTTGTCTTCGCCCTTCCAGCGTTTTGGCTGCCTATGGGCTTGGATTGCCGCAGTTGCGATCCCCAGTCTTCCAAGCTTCATCTTCTGGCGTAGAACCCTAATTTTATAATCGAAAATGGCTACTGATCAGTCGGAGGTTCGACATGGATGCTAACTGCTCAAAGTGTTAGCATATACTAACAGGGTAGGATGAAGGTTCACGTCGGCTGGTATTTGATTCAATGGAGAGGAGAGGCGGCTTGGTAGTGGCTCACTTAAGTGAGTTGTAGGTGGGCCAATAGGTAGAAGTCGGCCTTGCATGTGGCGGCGGCTGAGAATGGCTGAAAGTGGCTGGCAAGCTGGTGGGCCCGGCTTGAGTTTGGGCGGGAGAATGGATAGGAGTGGAAAGAGAACCAAATTTGATGGGCCCATGTTATATTTATATATGTTTGTTTGTGTGGATATTTATTTGTTCTCAGTGGATATTAATTTCTGTTATGTTGATAGTGCTTTGCATCATTGTTGAAATTTTGGGTCGCATTAATGTTTAACGGCGGCCCAAAATCACCCAACCACCATAAACTGATTAAACCAATTTAGAGAATTAGTTTTAGGGTTTAGAATTCTGGTTTTCAATTTGTGAAAGATTGGAATATTGTGTCTTACATCAAATTAAACACACTAGCAAGTCCTACACACTATCAAGTCCTAACACGTAAGGCTTGCAACCTTAGTTAGGGCTGCCCGCCGAGGGCCCATGGGCCGAAGGCCCATTAAATAATAATAGTTTTTATTGATGAGCGGTTTATTTTTTAGGGTTGATTGTTTAGGTTTGGTTTATGGTTTACGGTTTACGGTATAGAGGTTAGGGTCAAGGTTTCAACATAAGGGTTTGGGTTCTCTTTAGGGTTTAAGATTTTGTCTGGTCAGTATGAATATCTATTCTTTCCTAATTATATTGTTTTTAGAGTTTATTTAGTAGTGTTGATTGTTTAGGGTTTAGGGTTCAGTGTTTAGGGTTTAGAGTTTAGAGTTTAGGGTGATAGAGTTTATTTGAACCCGAGGATATTTATCCGGGCTGTGCAGATATTTATTTGAACCTGAGGAAACATTCCCTTAGTTCATGTGTTTGGATATTTTTGTGGAACCTTTGAATATTCTCAGCTTGGGAAAACAACAATTGTTTTATTTTTTTAGTGTTTAGTGATTAGGGTGGTAGACTTTAAAGTTTAGGGTTTAGGGTACAAATAGTAGATATTAGTTTGTGTGTTGTGGATACTTGTCTTTCCTAGTTGTAATACTTATTTTTGACATACTGATATTTATTCAAAATATTATGATTTTTTTCCGGGTTGTGTGGATATTTATTTGAACCTGATGAAATATTACCTTAGTTCATGTGTTTGGATATTTTTGTGGAACCTTTGAATATTCTCAGCTTGGGAAAACATTAATAGTTTTATTTTTTTAGTGTTTAGTGATTAGGGTGATAGAGTTTAAACTTTAGGGTTTAGGGTTAGGGTACAAATAATAGATATTAGTTTGTGTGTTGTGGATACTTGTCTTTCCTAGTTGTAATACTTGTTTCTGACATACTGATATTTATTCAAAATATTATGATTTTTTTCCGGGTTGTGTGGATATTTATTTGAACCTGATGAAATATTCCCTTAGTTCATGTGTTTGAATATTTTTGTGGAACCTTTGAATATTCTCAGCTTTGGAAAACAACAATTGTTTTATTTTTTTAGTGTTTAGTGATTAGGGTGATAGACTTTAAAGTTTAGGGTTTAGGGTACAAATAGTAGATATTAGTTTGTGTGTTGTGGATACTTGTCTTTCCTAGTTGTAATACTTGTTTCTGACATACTGATATTTATTCAAAATATTATGATTTTTTTCCGGGTTGTGTGGATATTTATTTGAACCTGATGAAATATTCCCTTAGTTCATGTGTTTGGATATTGATAGACCGATAAGTATACATGTTTTTACCCCTATTCTGAGGCCGTTTGTGACGAGGAATCTCGTGTTTTAAGCCGATTTCACGCTAGGTTGTGTGTTTATGTCATATTTCAGGTCCCGGCGTTGGAATCGAGGCGGAGAAACGAGTTCTGGGTCAAAAGGAGCAAGGTTGGGACGAATAGGGCTGAAGGAGGAAAATACCCGGTCAGGTGGCCAAATACCCGACCGGGTATTAACCAATTTTGGGCGCCCGAGAAGCAGAGAGGGGCCCGGGCACAGCAGTTAAATCCCCGGTCGGGGATTTTGGTGGTAGACCGGGGATTTTCGCCTTTAGTGGAACGGTGCGTTTCACAATACCCGGTCGGACCATAAAATACCCGACCGGGTATTTTGACCGGGTATCGCGACCAGGCAGCTGATAAAAGAGGAAGAAGGCCAATTTTCAAAGGGTTCCGAGTTTTTGAGAGAGAAACCGATACCTAGAGAGAGAAAGCGTCGAACCAGAGTTCTCAAGCGCCATAGATCGATCTTCAACACCATTGGAGCCCGTCTTGAGCTTGGAGAAGTGCGATTAAACGTTCAGAAGCAGGAATCCAACTTCACAGTATGATTTCCGTGTCTGAATCTGCTTTTGCTTCTTTCTCTATGGAGTAGTTTCCCCATTCATCTGGGTATGGAGAACCCTAGATTTGTATGCTAGGTCTGATTGTATGAACCCAAGTACAGTGTTTGTGAATTGATTATATTCGATTGAGGTTTGAATGATTGAATGACTTGAATCCTGATCAAATTCCTGTTGTTTCTGCTTTGACCTGGAATGAGAATATCTGCCTAGGTTGATAGAGTACCCTTAATCGAAGGTGGCGAATTGGTGACTTTAGTCGAGGGGCCAATTTGCTATTCTGTACCGAAGTCAATTCGGTAGTGGAGGTTTGGTTCATTAGGGCCTCAATCTGTTTACTCCGGTGGAGGTTAGTCGCCCGCTAGAGACTCAGATTGAGAGGGTCTGGAGACCTTTAGTCGAGACTTCAGGCTAATTGAGAACCTTCCGCAGTATAACTTTCATGAAAACTGAACTTGGCAAATTGCAATCCGACTTAACTGCAGTCTAGGGGGAAACCATATCCGGGTGACCTCTCTTGACTTGACAACAAACCGTTTACTTGCTTTGTGTTTTGTTTGCTTGAGTTTCACTAAAAGTTCACTGCTAAATAACAAGAATTCACCGAGTAGTCATCACATCTAGGACCCGGGTTGACATTAAAACCCGACCCGCTATACTACGCTTTAGGAATTGGTTATACTTGGCCATTTTCTAGGGTGACAGTAGGAGTGAGTCAAGTTTTTGGCGCCGTTGCTGGGGAGGGCTAGGTTGTTGAAGAAAAGTGATTTCTGTTACTTTAGCATTTTCATTTTTTGCATTGAGTTTTTGCTTTGTCCCACTTGTGCCTTCACGGGTTTGCTTGCTTGAGTGTGTGCAGGTAGTGCATGACCCGTAGCCAGTCAGGAGGTTTACTGCCGTTGGATCCAGAGCTTGAACGCACTTGCCGCCAACTTAGGAGACAGCAGCGAGCTAGACTGGTTACGGGAGAGCGCATAGACGGCCACTTGACCAGCGATTCTGAGGAAGAGTACGAGATGGAGGGCGAAGACATCCCACAACCGGGGAATGCTCGACAGGCTCCCCCGGTGAATCAGCATCCACCACCACCGCCGGGTCCCACCTTGGAGTACTACTACACTCCACGGATTGCTGACATCCGCCCGGTCATCCTCTATCCACCCATCCCAGCAAATAACTTCGAGATCAAGCCAGGCTGGATTCAGCTCATCACATCCTCTATCCAGTTCCATGGCTTGAAGGATGAGGAAGCCCGGGCACACCTTTCCCGTTTTCTGCAGCTGACAAACGGTTTCAAGCTGAATGGTGTTCCGGATGATGCGATCCGCCTTCACCTCTTCCCCCATTCTCTAGCGGGGAATGCTAAGAGGTGGTTGGAGACCCAGCCCCCACTGTCCATCACTTCTTGGGACGATCTGGCGGATAAGTTCGTGCACAGATATTATCCGGCATCGAAGACTACTGAGATTCAGCGGGAGATCACTCACTTCCGCCAAGAGCCAGATGAGTCCCTCCGTGATGCATGGGAGCGGTACATGGGATACTTCTGGCAGTGTCCCCATCATGGCTTCAGCGATGCTTTCACAGTGGGGAACTTCTACAGTGCCATCACCCCAGACAGCCAGAGGGTGATCGAGTCTCTATGCCCAGGAGGGGATATCCTTACTAAGACTCCACCCGAGCTGAACCAGATGATCAGTACTTTGGCTGCCCGCGATCATTCCTGGGGGCAGAGCAGCAGAGGCAGGCACTCCCGGGACCGTGGTGTGCATGCTATGGAGGCCAGATCCGGGTTAGAGCAGCAGGTGGCTGAGTTGGTGCAGACACTGAAGCAGCCTAACAGTCTCCTTCCGGGCCGAGGTGTAGCTGCACCTCCAGTAGCTCAGTGCCAGTGGTGTGAGAGTCCAAACCACCTGGTGGAGGACTGCCAGGCTATGCGGGAGTCCTCTACTCCCCAAGAACAGTTGGCCTTCATCGCCAATGCTCGGCGCCTCGATCCATACAGTAACACATACAATGAGGGATGGCGCCAGCATCCCAACTTCGCCTGGGGCAACAACACCAACAAACCACCTGGTTTCCCAGCACCAGCAGGTGGTTTTCAGCAGAGGCAGCCCTACCAGGATAGGCAAGGGCCACCACCACAGCAGCAGCCCTACCATCCTAGGCAAGGGCAGCCATTCCAGCAGCCCCAGGGCCAGTTTGCTCAGCCTCCAGCAGCCGCAGCTCCCGATAATCAGATGGCTGATCTGAAGAACATTTTGGCGACATTCATGACCACCAGCCAGGCGAATTTCGCAAGGGTGGACCAGAGCATAGCTTCTTTGGAGGCAGGGCAGAGGAACCAGGGTGCTATTTTGCAAGATCTACAGCACCAAGTCGGTGTCCTAGCGCGCCAGCTTACTGCTCGGGCCCCGGGGACTCTACCTGCCACCACCATCCCCAATCCACGGGACCCGCACGAGACCGCACATGCCATTTTCACCCTGAGCGGCAGGCCTACATCAGCTGATCCTGCCTCGACTAGGCAGGAGGAACCACTACCTGCTTCAGCACTTCCAGCCGGTGATACAGAAGTGCGGGTGGAGAAGGAAGCCCCTGCTCCCAAGCCACAACCAGTGGTGAAGGAGCACGTACCCCAGCTTCCCTTCCCCACTCGCCTTCACAAAGACAAGTTGGAGACTGAGTTTGCCAATTTTATGGCAATGTTGAAGCAGCTCAACATCAGCGTACCATTTGTGGAGGCGCTGTCGAAGATGCCCAAGTACGCTAAGTTCATGAAAGATCTCTGCACCAACAAGAAGAAACTTGGGGATCTCTCGACAGTGCTGCTGAGCGAGGAATGTTCTGCCATCCTGCAGAACAAGCTGCCCGAAAAGGGCAAGGATCCAGGGAGTTTTACTATCCCTCTTACTATTGGCAGCATGCATGTAGGAAAGTCCTTGGCG